CTTCTACATCAACATGTGTCCCCTCTTCTTCATGTCTCTTCTACATCACCATGTGTCCCCTCTTCTTCATGTCTCTTCTACATCAACATGTGTCCCCTCTTCTTCATGTCTCTTCTACATCAACATGTGTCCCCTCTTCTTCATGTCTCTTCTACATCAACATGTGTCCCCTCTTCTTCATGTCTCTTCTACATCAACATGTATCCCCTCTTCTTCATGTCTCTTCTACATCAACATGTATCCCCTCTTCTTCATGTCTCTTCTACATCAACATGTGTCCCCTCTTCTTCATGTCTCTTCTACATCAACATGTGTCCCCTCTGTGGAAAGAGACTCTGAAAGTTTCAGGAACAAAGATTCTCTCTCTTTTTGATCCATTTCTATAAAAACCTGTCTGAAAATGAGCTGATCAGATTTTGGCCACTTTATGATGTCATAACGATTTTGGCTTGTGTAACCATTAGCCAATCAGCAACCAAGGTAACCCCCACCCCCTATCACCTGAATCTCCTCCTAGAGCACCATTCAGTTCTTTGTAACCAAATCTCTCTCAGAGGGGCGTGGGGAGGGGCTCCTTATCTTCATCTAAAGTAACAGACAGAGAATCAGCACTTTGGAAACAGGGCTGAAACAGAGGGGATTATGGGTAATGTTGCAATTATCTGTTTGGTGTTTCAGCCAATCAGAGACAGGCTCTGGATATATCTGAGAGCTGTGATATATTGATGACAAACAGTATAATAGGAGACCTCTAAATCCGCACATCGTCTCTGAATATATCTGTTTTTCTTTACAGGGTACCGACAGAACCAGGTCTGTGCTGCAGGGCCTTCTTCAGGACCTCGCTGCAGAGCTTCAGGACGAGCTGATTGATCTGGACGGCGAGGCGAAGGCGACACACATCAGGGCAGCCGAGGTAAACACACTGTCGACTCGGCAGGAGTGTGTTTCTCCTGCTGGGATCCGTAGAGCTCTCACGATGATCCGTCTCCCTGGCCTCGTCTCACTCGGGCATCACGAAACAGACTCAGGACGGAGTATTTAGGCTAATCTCTCGTCGGGGCTGGAAGCCAAACGGGACAGGCGTGATCAGATCCGCTGCAGGAAAACACTCTCTGCATCGCACCGAGCAGGAGAAGTGAGAGCAGTGTGTCAAGCTGCAAAAGCAAAAGTTCAAATGCACGACAAAAAAAGTCAATTTCATCTCATATTTGAAATGTCGGCACTGTCAAGTCTTTTTCTTTCTTTGCACAGCACGATCAGATCAGGGCCGGATTTATTTCTTTGATGTGTGATTTCCCTCCTTATTCCACTGACTGTAATCCTTCTTGAGGCACATTTAATATGCCAGGAGTCTTCAGTCTGTACTAATGGTGGGTGGCTTCTCCATCAAAGGTCTGCAATCAGAGCTGGAAATGAACCCGTTCAAGAACAACAAGTCGGAACAAATGTTTGCAATATAAGTGGATAACAACGCACCTTAGGAACATGTCCACAGATGGTGGGACAGAGCTGTTGAAATGGCCGATATAACTGTAAACAAAATAGTCAGAAGTACTAATAAATAGTTGAACTGCAGCTTTCACCCATTCTGGATTATGAGGTCGGGTTGCTGAAGATCTCCCGGACTTCCGGCGTTCCCGTTTAAATGTTGTTTTCGTGATTATTTCCCTGTAGATCGGCTTATCTTTTAGTTTGCATATTACAGGGTGTAGCCTTGATATCAACATCCATCTAAAAATGTTTCTCATTAATCTCCAATAAATCAGAGTTGGCACTCTAATGATACGGACCAGCCAAAAAAAACTAAAATAATCGTCAATGTAATTCTGGGTTTCTGGGTAAAGTCTTAGGATGTTTACAATGAAATGTAGTCGTAAAAAAGTCTTAAATTAGATTTTATACATTTAAAAATAACTACTACCGTCGTGTTCTTCCATCGATCCAGTACGACGTGCATAATGTTCAGTGTTTCTCCTATAGGATGGAGTCATAGCAGCGGTGCTAAGGCACGTGGGCCCAGCATAATGTGAGCGCGGAGCGCGTGGAATTTTTTAGTGTGTGCGCGTGCGAAGAAAGGCTCTTGAGGCCTAGTACCAGGGCCGGTTCTAGACAATTTGCTGCCCTTGGTGAGATTTTAGGCGACATTTTATGTGTAAAGAATAAATGAAAAATCTCTACAAAAGACAAATACACTGCAGAAACAGAAACTTATTGACATAGGTAATAGACGTCAAAATGGCTTCAAATGTATTCAGTATTGTATGAACATGTTTGAATNTTTTAATGCTATTTTATTTCTATTTCAGAAATATTTTGGACTGTTTATTTCTTGTGTCTTAATTTCTCTTACGTACATTGCCTTGTCAATACAATTCCTATCCATCCACCTACCTACCTATCCACCTACCTACCTAACTACCTACCTACCTACCTACCTACCTAACACCTACTTACCTACTTACCTACCTACCTACCTACCTACCTACCTACCTACCTACCTACCTACCTACCTACCTACCTACCTACCTACCTACCTACCTATATACCTACCTACCTACCTACCTATATACCTACTTACCTACCTACCTACCTACCTACCTACCAACCTGCCTACCTACCTACCTACCTTACCTACCTACCTACCTACCTACCTACCTACCTACTTACCTACCTACCTACCTACCTACCTACCTACCTACCTACCTACCTACCTACCTACCTACCTACCTACCTGTCTAACATGTTTTCTGTCTTTCCTCAGGGTGGCATCTCTCACCATGAAGCTAACAGGTGAGTGTTGATCAAGCGTTCACATCTCTTTAGTCCCTGAAGTCCTCCAGTTCTGATCCATTCGTGTTTTTTTCACAGAACCTGCATCTCTAAAAGACTCAGGCGTCCGTTTTCTCCACACGGCTGCAAGAAGAAGAAGAACTGGTGTTATCTGAGTCCGGATGCCGAGCAGCTGGACCGTGAAAACCCCGTGAAGACTTGGGATCACCTCATCATGCCGCGTAGCTTCCCAGACTTGCCTGAGAAGATATCTGCGGGGGAAGCCACCCGCCCCGGAAAAGTCGACTCAACGCATCTACTTCAGCCCGCCGTCGGCACGAAGGTCCATCAGGCTCAGCTGAAGCACAACCCCGAGTCCGTGACCTCCATCTCGCCCTGGTGCTCGAACCTCAGCGACGACATGAAGGAGATGACGGCAGGTTGGAGGTCGGATAGGAAGGTTCAGTATCAGGAGGTCGATGTTGCTTGTTCCGGCACTCAGACGACCAAGAAGCCGAAGATGGTGAGCGTCGCTCTGCAGACGGAGGGTGTGGTTAGCGTTAGGAGTCCGACTCGAGGCCTGAGCTCCTCTCTGGTCTCCAACAGATCGAACCACATCTCCACCTCGTTGGATGGAGTCCCGGGAGAATCAGATCCACCGCATCGTCCTCTTCGCCAAAACTCTACCGGAGACACTCTACATCCGGAGTGTCTTCTTCCGCCAACTCCTGTCTACTTCGTCCAGAGACCGAGGCCTGTGGAGCCCGAACTCGCAAAGCAACACCAGCCTCACGTGGACCAGACAAACCTCATCAGAACCCCGGCCCCTACAGCTACCTATATACCTACTTACCTGCCTACCTGCTTACCTACCTACCTACCTACCTACCTACCTACCTACCTACC